AAAGGAACACCATTTTATTTGCCTCACACAACAGGCAGATGCATTGATGTTTCCAGAAGTCTTAGTCTTTGTTCAACTGATACCCTCCAAGGACACAGCATCACCATCATCCTTCTAGAAAGGCATATGCTCTCTGGCATTTCATGTCAGTATTTTACCCGCATGGTTGGATGGCATCATTGACTCAATAGACATGAGTTTAAGCAAACTCAGGGAAATGGTGAAGGACAGGGAAGCCTGGCATGCTGCAGTCTGTGGGGTCACAAAGAGTCAGACAGGACTGAGTGACTGAACAACAACCACGACCATCTAAGAGCACTGAAAGATAGGATTTAAATGAGAATCATCTGGTCTTCAGGCCATGCCCCATCCAGATATTTTCCATATTCAGAGCACTGTTGCATAGACTAAAGAAAGTGTTAATGCGCTTAGTCGCTCAATTGTGTCTGACTCTTTGCAGCCCCATGGACTGCAGCCCACCAGGTTCCTCTGTCCATGGGGATTCTCAAGGCAAGAATAGTGGAGTGGGTAGCCTATCCCTTCTCCAGGATATCAACCAGGGATCGAACCAGGGTCTCCTGCACTGCAGGCGGATTCTTTACCCACTGAGCTACCTGGGAAATAACAATTCCCAATACACAAGTTTCAGATGCTCTAACAAGCCCAACAGACATTTCCTCAAGCTCCTTTGTTTACTTGGATTAGAAACAGTCATACCATGACAACATGATTCTAGATTCTTCAGACTTACCACTTCCCCCACCAAGAACTTCCTTGTATCGAAACTATACAAAAAGTCTAACCAGCTCTTGGTTATTCTGTAAGGACTGTACATGTTTCACATGTTGATTTGAGATACTCTAGTTCAGGATGGTATCACATATGTCTCACTTCAGAGCTCATTATGCAGAATAAGAAATTGGGTTTCAGTAGCTTCACAGCACCTCATTCTCAAAACATTAACCCTGATGTTAGTAATAAGACCAATTCTGAGATTACTTATTAATATACTGGACTGAAAGCAGACTCAGATTCATTTATGATAACGTCAGCGTTCTGCTGGACAATTTATAGTTGCATGTTTCTGTTGTAATATTGTTCTTACGGAATTCTAAAATAGAGATGGCCTCACATGGTGGGAAGCTGAGCACTGGATTGTTGAGAGAATGCTGAAAGGAACTAGACCGTAATGTTTGAATTTAGATAAAATGTTAGGAGACAGCTAGTTACCTGTATGGAGAAGGCAGTGGCACCCCACTCCAGTACTCTTGCCTGGAAAATCCCATGGACGGAGGAGCCTGGTAGGCTGCAGTCCATGGGGGTCACTAAGAGTCGAACACAACTGAGCGACTTCACTTTGATTTTTCACTTTCATGCATTGGAGAAGGAAATGGCAACCCATTCCAGTGTTCTTGCCTGGAGAATCCCAGGGATGGGGGAGCCTGGTGTGCTGCCGTCTTTGGGGTCGCACAGAGTCGGACACGACTGAAGTGACTTAGCAGTTACCTGTATGCGTCTATTGAAAATGTTAGTCACTCAGTCATGTCCCAATTCTTTGCGACCCCACGGACTGCAGCCTGTCAGGCTTCTCTGTCCATGGAATTTTCCAGGCAAGAATACTGGAATGGTTATCCATTCTCCTCTCCAGGACATCTTCCCGACCCAGGGATTGAACCCCAGTCTCCCACATTGCAGGCAAATTCTTTACCATTTGAGCCACCAGGGAAGCGGGCATGTGTGTGTGTGTTAGAAATCAGCAGTTACTCCAGTGACAAAGGACAGCAGCAGTAAGTACCCCATAAACATGCGCCGCCACCCTCATAAGCCTTTTAATATTTGTTTCACTTTGTATTAGAAAACAAAAACAGTAATTATTTGCTTAATGTAGTAAAATGAAATGACTAGTGTTAAAATGCTTCTTAAAAATAATTTAGACATCTGCCTATATTTAACATATCACAGTGAGTGTTGTGTTCAGTCTAATCTGTTGAGGGGCAGTTGAATAGGTTTAGAGTAAATAAGTTCTGTTGAATAAATGGTTTTGTTGAGTTTTTCTGTGTTTTCATAGTAAATGTTGAGGGAGTCAGAATTTGAGAGTCCTGTGCTTCACAGTTTCTGCCCTCTGATGTACATCACTGATGAATGGGGAAATATTAATTTTAGGTACAAAATCATGTTTTGCTGCTTTACATTCTACCACATTGTCAAAATCTGAAAGACACTCAGTAGGACTTGTTTTGCCTAAAATATTTACAATGCAGCATTGTTGAACCAGCACCTACTTAAATAGCCCTTCTATGCTTTTTTTTTCCATTTGGTAAACTGAGCTGAAGGTGTTATCCTGCATGTTATAGGGAGGCATGTTGGATGTTTTTCCTGTCCTGGAGACATGTGTGCTTGATAGACACCTGAGACCTGACTACCCAGCAGATGCAGCCACTGGATAAAGTGTGGGACTGTTAGTCAATGTTGTAGTTCTCATCCTCAGTGCCGCGGTTTGTTGTTTTTTTTCTTCTTTTACTTTCTAGCCACAGATCACAATCCTCATCTCATCCATTAGTCAGGTTATGTACCAAAAATAAGATGCACATCACCAATGATACACTTGTACATCACCATTTTTCTTAACAAATCCCTAAAACTCATTGAAAGTAAAACCCCATACTGCCCTGGGATTATTCTGCATTTTCAGTGTCAGTGTCATCTGCCCAGGTATATATTTTTCCATCATACGCTTTCTGAAGGCAGAAGTTTCTGAGAAACTTAAATATCAGTAAAGAATACAAGCTTTGGGTCTGTGTGGATGTGCCCAAGACATTTCTTTACCCATAAGCCATTCAGTGAAGCAATAGACAAAGAGTTTAGAAGCCACCCCTGATCCTTAACTCTCTGGAATGTAGACCTGACTTGTCTTTCAATGGGATTATCTGTGATGTGGTTTACTCAGATGCGACGCTGGTCCCCTGCTCTATCTTATGTTTGTGGTTAGAATAATTTTGACAAAACCTCAGCAGTCTTATGGCTAAAGGCTGATATAAAGTTATCTTGGATGGGTAGGAAGAGTAGTGATAAAGGAAAGCCTGTAGGTTTAAAAACTGAAGGTGTGGGACTTCCCTGGTGGTCCAGCGGTTAAGAAATCTGCGTTCCTAATGCAGGGGCACAGGTTCGATCCCTAGTCATGGAACTGAGGTCACCACAATGCCACAAGGGGTGACATAGATAGATAGAGAAAGCAACTGGTCAACAGTGTTTACAGGAAATTTAAGAGAGGAAAGCAACACTACTGTATTTAATCCACTAATTCTTAAAACTCGCCTGAAAATTAAACCACTTTTTGATATTTATAGTTGCCCGTCAAAACAGATACTTTAAGTCATTGAAGAAAATTAGAAATTTTACAGCAGCGGAAATTAGATAAAAATTTCAGGGAGATGTTCTTCAACTGTGCTGTAATAAAAATAGAGAATGTGCTACACCGTCTTCATATGTATTTTTGCTGGGAGAATGCTGATGAAAGCATCTCTGTAACAAAGTCCTAGTGCTCACCACCTGTGAAGAGTTGAATCACTGGCCTCTTTTAGCAGGTGGATAAAAACGTAGAACTCTTGATCTTAGCAGTGGCAGCTAAAACACTTATTTTTGGTCTCTCTTCCATGGTAACTGGAGATGAAACTTGAGAAGACAGTGTGGACTAATGGATAGACTGTTGGACAGGAGGTCAGGAACCTCTGTTCTGTTCTATTCACAGCCTGCTGCTGGGTTGCTATGTAAACTCAGATAAGCTACTTACCCTCTCTGCACCTCATATTTTCCGTTTGTGAAAACATAGGTTAGAGACATTCTGTATTTAGCGCTTCCCAAAGATATTGTGAAAACTAGTTTACTCTGAAGAAGTTCATAGCATCTTTGGGTTGAAAAGAGGCCACGTAAATATGTCATTGTCCCTGTTCCCTTGGACAGCACTCTCGCCATGGACTGAGGTTGTATAAACCGTCCATTATCCATCACTGCAAAACAGGTACCCTTGTGAGGCGCTTTGTATCACTCAGAAGCTGAGCATGTGACCCTACAGCCAGAACAACTGGATTGGAATCTGGGATCCACCACTTACCTACTCCATGACCTTGAGCAAGTTAGGATGCTAGATTTCCTCATCTGTTAAAATAGGGATAATGGTAACACCCATCTCATTGGACTGTGATCTAAAATGCGAAAGCATTTATGAAGAGCACCTTGGACATTATGTAGATAGGTAATGCACTTTGTATATAAGTGTGTGATTACCGCTATCACCCAGAGCAGTTCTTCATTGTTAGCACAGCAGGGGAAGTCAAGCTCGCCTCTGGCCTTGGTTTCTTCTGGGCATCTCACCCCAGGATGATTGCGCTCTCTTCCTCCGGAATGCGCGTGTCTCACTCCCACTCCCATAAGCCCTGGGCCCTGAGTATAAGCTCCCATAGCTGATGTTATCTGCTCTGTCATCTGTAATAATTGACAGAGTGTCACATAACAGATCAAAGAAATCTAGATGTTTTAAAGTGTCAGAAACATCTCTGATTTAGTAACTTGGAAAAAAAAAAAACTCAAACAGATGTCAGAAGTATTAAAGAATGGAGAGTGAGATAATTGACAGTTGGAAGCTGTGTCCTGACTATTATTTAAAAAACTCAGAAAACATCAGGAGGAGATAGAAGAATATTTAAAAGTTTAAATTCATTTTAACCTTTCTTGCCAGCTTTCTATAGAAGGTACCCAATGTATAAATTGCTCAAACACAAAGAACAAGAGGGTCGGATTTTCAAAAATCTAAATAAAAATATTTCTTTTTCAGGGGTTAACAACATTTATGAAGGTATAAACATTTAGGATCTGATGAAAATTATTGATTAGGTTTTTTCTATAACTTACCATAGTGTGGGATTTCAAAGATTGAATAGCATTTAAGAGGTAATCATATGTTTCATTGATTTTTTTTTTTCTCTCTCTCTCTTTGTTATTAGAACCAACCTACATCACAATTGATCCACCTGCATGTGGGGAGTTATCAAACTGTACCCTGACAGAGAAGGACTGCATTTATGGTTTCAAACTCGATCACAATGGTTGTCGAACTTGTCAGTGCAAAAACAGTGAGTACATGGAAGACTGTTTTTTCAGAGCCTAATATGATATTGTCAAAGCACATTATGTGATTGAATATCCTTTTCATTCCTGTTCATGTCATTGCCTTAGCAACCTGAAAGATGGGAAAAAAGTGTACTTAATGTAAACACACAGTCAGTTGCAGAAGAAGAGCTGCCCTTTATTCTGCTTTTCACCTTCACTTCATTATACATCAGGATACTCGTTATTGTCCAGCTGCTACGTGGGTGCAGCCTTGGCAGCTCTGGGGCACATGATTCCAAACACTCCGGGCGCTCTCATTACCACCCTTGTCTGGGTCATCCAGTGACAAGGAGGTCACTCACACAGAAGTGTCACATTCCACACGTGGGCACCATAATCTTTAGAATGCGCTCCCCTTTTTTGACCCCAACTCTCCTCCATGTAGATTCCAGTCGTGTCTCCACCATGATCTCTGAAACAAGATAGGGTATATTGCATTTCTTCCTGGGGGAAAAAAAATTGCCCTTCATGTTTAAAACGATTTTCAATTTCTCTAAATCTTCTACGAGAATAAACATTTTAGTCACTCTCCAGGGGACATAATTTCTAGAATTCTGTTGGGTCTTTCCATCTTTTGATACACTTAAAATAGTCATGGTTTTTATGTAAATGCATGGCCTAGAAACAAACAGAATACTCCAGAATTTGGTCTGATCATTGCCCTGCTATTGTGTGGCCTAAGTGGGTGTTAGCTCTTTGGATTATACACTCTCAGCTAACACTGAGTTTATAAGGATCTAGAACCAGTCGGTGCTTTTTGCATTAGCTGCTCTCTTAGGTGGTTCTCATCTGTTCTGTACTTAGACATTTGATTTTTTTTTTTTTAATGACACAAATGCAATGTCGGATTGGACAAGAAATTACCCTGAGCAGTTTCAACCATTTACAAGCTAGTTGGGATATTTTTGAATCTTGTTGATGTGACCTCATACTTTATCTGTGTCTCTCAGTTTATATTAAATGAGCGTAACTTACATGTCCTCATCTAAATCATTGCCCTAGAATAAACTGTACAGAACCAAGGACAGGGCCTTGTTAGCACCAAAGACCTACCTGTGAAATGACTTTGAACACAATCTTCAGTTTTTCTTTGGAGTTACTCAACTAACATCATATCAGCTCCATCTCCACAAGGAAATCTTGAAACTCTTGGCCTGTACCTTATCTAAGATCAAAATACCTTCTATTTGCAACATTTCTTTGCTGGAAACCCTACTTTAAATATGACAAAGTTGGTAGGGTATGGATTGTTTTTCACGAACCTATACTGCCTGTGGCTCAGCTAGTAAAGAATCCACCTGCAATGCGGGAGACCTGGGTTCAATCCCTGGGTTAAGAAGATACCCTGGAGAAGGGAATGGCTACCCACTCCAGTATTGTGGCCTAGAGAATTCCATGGACTTAGAGTTCATCGGATCGCAAAGAGTCGGTCAAGACTGCGTGACTTTCACCATATTGCCTCCTGGTAGTCATTGGTTTCTTTCCTAAATGTCGAAAATCCCATGTTTAAACATTCATTCTGCAGAATTTTCAATTGTCAGTACCAAGTTTAGTTTCTGTAGTGTTAGAATCCTTTGTCCCTTTTGAATCGACATTTGGCCTCTTTTAGTTTTCTGAAATCTCTTTCTTTTCTCTCTGATGTCTCTAAATATGGACAGTGCTTCTATAATCAGTAGGTCCTCTGTGAGCCTCTAGGTACAATTACCCTAGGCGCAGAGAATTGGAATCAATTAATGTAGAGAGATGATCACCTTCTGATTTATCAGTTTCCTTGGACTCTGTATTCCTCTTCTCCTTAATTGTTCAACATTTTTTTTTGGTAAGGATATTTTTGATAGAGACAGATACTTAGTAGAAGTTGCATAATTCAGTTTTCTCAGTTGCTTGTTACCATCATACTGTCTGCCAGATGGAGTTAGTGCTGCAAGGGAGATTATCAAATTACTGTGATGATGGTTGTTCCTACCTTTAAATTTCCCATGAGCCTCCACCAATCAGGGACTGTCTGCCTTCCTACGCTTGTTTCTGTTCAGAGGAGGGCAGGTCCCTGTCATACACCTATCTGCCTTTTATACCTCCCTTTGGAAGGCCAGGTTCACTAGGCGGCTGCTTTGGCAGCTGTATCTCTTGGCTTAAATAGTCTGCTTGGGTTTTTTGACCCCAAGATAATTGGTGATTATATCACAAAGAGTTTATATTTTAATCTTTCTCTTGTATCTCTTGAGCTATATACCCATTTTGATCATGGGAACATACCTAATATTTTTCCCTGAATTTTTTGAAGTCTAAAAATTTATGTTTCATTGTGCCTAATCACCCCACCCACAGTCTTCACCTGGGCTTTGGTGTTGTGAACTTGTGGACACTTGGGCACACTTACATAAGAACCCAGCTGATTCACAGTGAGCCCTTTGTAAGTTAAATCCAAAGAATTAATTTCCCTCAGTTGTCAGTGGAGCCAGTCAAAAACATGACTGGCTTCGCAAGTTGAGACTATCAGAATTCTGCTCTACCTGGCTTTGTCAAAGGAGTAGCCCCACGTCCTGCTTGCTGTGTGCCTTCATTTCCTTAACATGTAGGAGGAAAGAAATACAGGAGACCGTTGCATTTTGTGTCAAATGGAATTTGTCATTTTGTCTGTATCAAACAAGCAAAAGTACACGGAAGGTGCATGACAAAGCCATAGAGCCTTCCTGCTATCATCCCCTGCCATTAGCAATTCTGACACCTTTTGATAGGTAGTCAAATTAAACCAAACTGCCACACCCTCGGTTGTCAGATTCTTGGTGATTGTTTGGACCCAGCTCCCCACCAAGCCTCTGGCTTCAGACTGACTTGTCCCTGGGTGATTGGGTAGATTGCTTTATTTGCTAGAGCCTCTGTGTCTGCATCTATAAAGGGCAGGTAATAATACCAAATTAATGGGTTATTTTGAGGACAACTAATTAATGAATGCAAAGCTAGCTTTAGTACCTGACATATGGTAATTGTTTACTCTACACAATAGCTGTTTTATAACACGCTTCTCTGAGTCATCTGGAGCTGGCAGGCTGGAAAGCCCCCAGCTTCCCCTCCTTTGTTCCGACACTAACCTGCCTCGGGTTCTTTCTGTCCTCTGAGGGCACACACGCAAACAGCTTTCCTTTTGCCTTTTCATTTTAACCCTCGAGTATTCTCAGTCTTTCACCTGGTTTTAGAAAAATGAAAGTCCCTTGTACTGAAGGATGGCTCAATATGTTCTTTTACCCATTGCAGCTACATGTTAAGTATGGATTTTGTCTAAATCTCTCCTTCACATTATTTTTCTGCATCCCACCGAAGCCTGTTTCACATGCATTGGTCATAGCCATCTGTACCCTAGTTTTCCCTTAAGAGTTAGACTATATGTACAGACCACTGGCGTCAAGATTTCTTTCTCGAAATTAAGACCAGCACCAAATAACTTCTCCTTTGTGGCTGGTTTGTTGTTTGCTGGTTCATTCCTTTCATTCATCTAGCATTTACTGAGTGCCTACTATATGCCAAACACTAGGAGTACGGAAAAGATAAAAATGGACCTTATCCCTGACTAGTATTGGTAATGTGTTGGTAATATTGGTTATATGCTATTAGGTTGTAGTGCTATTACATTATAGTCAAGTATATCATAGATAGTCACTGAAGATTGAAATCAAAATCCAGTAGAAACACGTCCTTAAAAAGAAGGTGGAGGGACTTCCTAGTGGTCCAGTGAACCTTCCAATGCAGGGGATTGCAGGTTCAATCCCTGGTCAGGGAGTTGAGACCCCAAATGCCTCAAGGTCAAAAAACCAAAAAGATAAAACAGAAGCAATATTGTAACAAAGTCAATAAGAGCTTCAAAAAATGGTTCACATCAAAAAAAAATCTTTAAAAATAACCTGAAAGGTGTATGACAAAGGATGATTTTATTTGAACATGTTGTAACTTTGCTTTTTTAACCTGTAACAAATAACATTTCTTATAACACTGCCAAGCAAAGTAATGCATCGGGGCATACAGACAATTTAAATTGTCCCTGACTCATTTTTTCAAAGACATATTTAGAATAATAAAAAGAAACATGGTGGAAAATGTTTAAGAATGCTCAGTAGAAACAGAGGTCAAAATCATTTGGATAAGCTACTAAAAATAACTTTATTGATACCAAGCTGTTAGTAGCGTTACTTTAACCAAAATGTTTGCCGTCATATATTATGCATTTCCGCTTACTATAGGTACTGTATATAGTAAATGACATCCATATGAATTAAATTGGTGTTGATCTTTTAGCATCTTATTTACATTTTAAAATCAAGTGGATTTCATCAAATTACTTGTAACTTCTCTTCCAGTTTTTAACATTCTGTAATTCTAGGGATTAATAATGCTTTTAGCTAGAAACTAATGCAGACATAGAAAGCTAATGGTAGCAGGAAGAGAAAAAGCTTTCATAGTTTTCATGAAATATATATCTGAAGCAAGCATCTAAAGAAGCTTGCAGCATCAAATGCACAGAGGCAGGCTCCTGTTTTCATGTCATTGTTACTCTGAACAAACACTTATCAAGGGCAAAATTGGGACCACTGTTTGCAGTGTTAACTTCTTTACTTAACAGCCTTAGGAACTTTATTTGTGGTATCCGTAACTGCTTGCAGACTGATGGGAACTGCCAGAACCCCAGAGCGTGAAGTCCTGCAGAAGAAGCACGGCACAGATCCAGGGGCACCTCCACACCGTGTTCTGTGTGCGGTCCCCATGTTGTCCACTCAGAACAAAGTGCAAACAGTGTTCCCCACAGCTGGGGCCACGCTGTGCCCCTGGGAGCAAAGGCATCTTCTTTTCTCCCAAATAAACAAAATTTACTGCATAGCTGCTGTCAACCATCCATATCATACAGGCTCTGTAGTTTGCCATTATTTAGCACTTCTCTTCAATGGGAAATTTCCCCTCTGGATTTGAAGGCATTTTTGGATCACAGTGAAGTCACACCATTGAAAAATTATAAACATAAAGGCTTCCCTGGTAGCTTAGACAGTAAAAGCATCTGCCTACAATGCAGGAGACCCGGGTTCAATCCCTGGGTCAGGAAGATCCCCTGGAGAAGGAAATGGCAACCCACTCCAGTACTCCTTGCCTGGAAAATTCCCATGGATGGGGGAGCCTGGTGGGCTACAGTCCATGGGGTCGCAAAGAGTCGGACAGGACTGAGCAACTTCATTTTCACTTTCACCATTCTTTCTACTGAAGCCTTTGAAACAAACCTATAAACCCCACCCATCTAGGAATAAGATGTTTCTAATGTATCTGTTCTACTCTTTTTGTAAAATGTTTGCCTTAAAGTTATACTTCTCTGAAGAAAAGTTCATAATTGATACAGGGATCTAGGAATACTTTGAAATCTTTAATGTTCCCTATTTCTGAGTTAGCGGATGATATTTGGAGACATTTAGCAAGTTCCAGTATCGTTAAACTTTTTTGATACTAAGTTTTTTCATCCCATTATTTTCTTTTTTTGTTGTTTGTTTTATTTTTTAATTTATTTTTTATTTTTAATTAATTTATTTATCTTACTTTACAACATTGTATTGGTTTTGCCATACTTCGACTTGAATCCGCCATGGGTGTACATGTGTTCCCCAAGTATCTTCTATGAGCATGTCAGTCTTGATGAGAGTGGAGGAGTAAATAGCAAGAATTTTGACAGGTTCATTCCCTTAGCAAGTCCTTGCTGAGTGCTCGCTCCAGGCTGAACACCATGATAGCATCTGGACTATAAGTGGGTCCCTGCCCTAGAGCTCCCTTCTTTTAGGGAGGGAAATGAGATAGCAGGCTGATGAGCTGTCCCAAGTCAGGGCAGCACAGTGGCAACCTGCTCAAGAAGTCACAGCCAGTCTGAAGACCATGAATGTGCTCTATTTTCGTTTAAACGCAGCAGCCTTTGCTTGAAGTTCCCGTCTGCTGCAAAGCAGAGGTAAAGACAGACTTAGTTTCTTTCAAAATTTTTAAGCTTAGTGATGCAACAGCTTTTATTAAGGATGAAAGGCAATTCTACTGGGTTGGCCAGAAAGTTTGTTCAGGTCTTTGCGGTTAAACCTAAACACATTTTTTGGCCAACCCAATTAATTTAAGATCTATGGGAAAACTCCTTGACTTTACAGGACCACCAGAAAAATGAAAAGCACAGAGGTGCTCACACTCAGAGTTTCAAGGAATTCAGTCCCCAGAGATGTTCTCAGAGTGGTTTTAATTCATGGATTTCCCACATAATGTACTTGATATCAAGACTTAAAATTTTTGTAATAAGAAAAAATGGATTCACAACTTAGATCTTGGTGTCAGAGAAAGAAGTGTGGCTATGAAAGTCTTCTCCCTCCTTCATCATCTCTGTAATAATGGGGAAGCAATGATGACCTTTCAAGTCATATAATTATAAAATTTTAAATGAGCCATTTAGAATATTGCTTTTAAGGATGCAAATTAGTAATCAGTTGCTTCACTGTGTGATACAGACCCATGAGGTTACATTAAATATGTGTAATGAAAGGTTTATGATGATGACAAACTAGAAAATTATACCATAAATCACATTATCCTTTTTAAAAGATAGCATATTAAATATCAAGTGTTGTCAGCTAAGATTCACAAAAGATTCTCTCTTAAAATATTTATGTAAAACATGAACCCATTTCAACTCTTTAATTGTAGTTAAGGTTTAAATCTGGGGGCTTCCCTGGTGGCTCAGTGGTAAAGAATCTGCCTGCAATGCAGGAGACCCAGGTTCAATGCCTGGGTCGGGAAGATCCCCTGGAGGAGGGCGTGGCAACCCACTCGAGTTCTCCTGCCTAGTGAATCCCATGGACAGAGGAGCCTGGCGGGCTGCAGTCCACAGGGTCGCACAGGTCGGACACAACTGAAGCGACTAAGCAGCAACAAGGTTTAAATTTAGATGAAAAGATTTGTGTGTGGAAGGGACATGTGTTCTGTTTTTCCCAATAACGTGTACATTATTTACAGTGTTTATGCTCAAAGGATATCCACATAAATGCATTTATTATTCCAACAAAAGTAGTCTCTTCCCATTTTACCAGTCCACATAGAACACTGATTAAATATTGCCACACTTTCGCTCTCATCTTATCTGCTTCTTTAAATTTGATTCTCTTTCAAATTCTACATTTAATTTAGACAAATCTCAACTTTCTTTAGTTACATCACCAAGCATGCTTTTCTTATTTACCTTAACATGTTTATTGCTAATCCCTGTGTCATACCTTTTAAATTTCTTTAGAAGATTTCCATTAAGCTAATAGAAGTTTCTTGTGCCAGCCACCATTTCTTCTTCCCTCTTTTCCCCTCTTCTACAAGTTATGACTGACTCAGAGGACAGTTAGCCATCACTCCAGGTTCTGCCAACAGGGGAGACTTTGAACATTTCAAATAGTGGATAAACATTAATCTAGATATTTCTTTGGCACATACATTTTGTGTCAGTTAGCCAAGTGTATCTAAATAGCTGAATATTTTTCAGCAATGGGGAAAAAGTATCTAGTTGAAACACTGGTTACTTCACTTTGTATTAGTTATTAGAAATATACCTCTTAAAGAAAAGGTAAGCAGTCCTTTATGCTCCATATAGTATACAGTAGTATACAGTAACATCTAAAACTCATAAAAGTAAACATATGTGAATGTGCTTCTCATGGGCATGTAGTAGGAACAAAATGCATAATGAAATTTGAGGTGTAAGCTTCCAGTTCTCACATTTGAATGATAAATAGTAATCAGTGGTTTGAAGTGACCAGTAAGAACAAATTTCATGAGAAAGCGCACTCCGTTTTATCCACATCTTAAATAGTAGTTGCCAGCCTGCTTTTCAGCCCTAGATTGGAGTAACATCAGAAACTATTATTCAAGAGCTGAACTTTATTCTGTATATTAGTACCAAAACATGAAGCTACATTCCAATAACCATGATAAACACGAAATGGCACCATCTATAGTTTTTAACCATTGCTGATGCTGTGGTAGAACTGAGAACTTCACATCTGTGGAAGACTGGAAGATCAGGGGATCTTGAAGCGTCGGATGTATTCTGGTCCCTTCATCTTTGGAAGAAACGTGCTGTCCATGTGTCTTCACAGGGGAGGAGCTCTGCATGGGCCTCAAACGAGGCTGCACCTTGAACTGCCCCTTCGGCTTCCTAACCGACGCCTATGGCTGTGAGATCTGTCAGTGCCGCCCACGCCCCAGGAAGTGCAGACCCGTAGTCTGTGAAAAGCATTGTCCATTTGGATATCTGTACGTATTTCTTAACCAGAAGAGCTCTTCTCCGTTGTCTGTAACTTGACGAAGTGTGTTACCTATTTTTGGAGGCTGTTTTTGTGTGTTTGTGAACAAATCAGTGATGTACTGAAGTCCGAAGTATCTATGCTTGTTTTGTTAGAGGAATCAGAAAGTGGGAAAAGGAGGTACGTCCAAGGATAAGAATCAGGTTTTACTCTTCTTTGAAGACGGGCCAGAGCCTTGCTATGACACTGCCCTTTGGGCCTGTTGGGTGAGATTTCCTATAGGCAGGGCCTTTGGACACTGCCGAAGGGAGTGGACCTGTCATGAGGTCCCAGAGATGTAAACTCTTCCACTTTGCACAGCTGTCCCAGCGACTGTTTTGTGATAACCTATTTAATCCATACTTTAGAATGAATCAGTAGCTGTCAAGCTGCTAATTTGCAATATGGAGCATCCTTACCTGCCTCCCTATCTTACCTTGATATTTGTCTACAGTTTACACTATCCTTTTTTTTCAGTAGCAGTAGATTTTATGAATTTCCTTGGAGATAAGAATTATGACTTATATTTTTGAATATTCTTGATTGACTCAAACCCCATGAACACTCAGATTATTCTGAGAGGAAAATAGATATTTCACATTTGTTACTTTGCTGTCTGTCTTAGCATCTCCTTCTGCATGGGTCAAGTTGGTTCCTTAAAAATAGCCTTTCAGAATTTTTCTTTCTCATTCCTGCCTTGGTTCCTTCCATTTTAGTCTCTCTCCCTTTCCAATATGATAGTTTATATAATGCTAGTAGTATAAGGGACTTCGAGCCATCATCTCTTGCCCAGCACCTTAAAGGCATTGTTTTTATTCTTCCCCCTGGAAATTCATGTTTAACAGGGAGAAGGGAACCTTAATTTTAATTGGATAATTAAAGTTGGGAGGCATTATTCTTTAAAATTCCCCAAGTTAACTAATAAATCATCATTTTTCTTAGTCCTAAAATATGAATGCAAAACTAATAAAACTAGAGTTATTTCTTAGCTTAATTGCTAATGTAGAATAAAGGATTATTATCATAATAGTACCTACAACCTCTTCCTGCAGCATTATAACAGTTTAGAAACCAGGCTGCACTCAAGTCGAAGCTTCATTTTGGAGAGGACTCTCTTAGAAGATTGTAGATTTCACTTGATATTCTTGTCATTAAGCACATTCAAGGAGGACCAAGTTGAATGGCTAGCACATGTGTTTCAAGGACAGCCTCTGAAGGAGAAATCCTGGCCAGACACCACATGGGAGTATTAGGTTAATGCTCATGTACACCTGCTGGGTGGATCATTACTGTGTTTATGCAGCAAATGCTTACACAAGGGAGGGGGGTGGAGAGAAGGAATGGACAGGTGAATAAATGAATGTACAAACAAACCCATTAAAGTCTTGTTAGGGCTCAAAAATGGCACAGTCTATGACATGAGTATGAACCATTCATTTAATTCATTGTTTTCATTATATTGACGTAAATATGTAAACCTTGGTATTAGTTCTCATTTCACTTAGCAGATTGTAGTTTGTCACTTGGGCAGGTATATACCAACATTTCCCACAGGGCTGTTTTCTTTTAGAACCTCTTAATTTGCCCAACATAAGAAAAAACAGGGTTTATTTATTTATTTATTTTTAGTTGAGCACCACCGTTGCCATTTGGGGCTCCCTGGGATGAAACCTGAAGGTAGCTAGACTTAACTCCTCCTTCTCTGCTGCCCAGGAAGCCCAGCTAGGGCAAGGCGTGTGGAGGAGATGTTAAGTCTAAGAGAGGACCCGGAGCTGCAGATAGTGAACAGAAGGAAGAGGAGAGCAGATGAACGCCTTTTGTAGCAGAGAAGATAATTTTCCTTTTAGAGAAAACAAGGAATTGTTGTTAAGAATTTTTTTGTCCACTTGAACCATGGTGATACTTTAATAAGCACATAATTATTTAATATCATCTTCCTGATCAGCACAAAATTTAGGCACCCTGGTTTATTAAAGGGGGAAAAAAATTATTCACCCAGCCATTTTCCTTTATTCTCTGTGCTTCAGTCATGCCCCATAGTTTTTCAATTGGTATTCTTTACTGATTAATGAAATAACTATTGGACATTGAGTATAAAACTTCTCAGATGTTTTATTCTTCATCATGTCTGTGTATCCTTTAGCCCTCTGTCTATCTACTACAAGATTCTATAGATATCTCAATAAAATGTTTACTGGTATCTGAAATTTCTTAAAAGAATGTGGTCATGTGAGGAAGGCAGTGGCCCTAACAAAAGAAGGACTTCTGCCTTTAATGCTGACCTCCAACATTGGTCCTTCACCTTCTTATTCATGGAGTTGCAGGTTCACCTTCTTTTGTACTTGGTACCACTTTTCCTAATCAAATCAACAGTCGTATCACTGAGATTCCGGTAGTCATACCCTAGACTCCTCAGGGCTTGGACAGTCCTCACCCTTGGCCATGGGTGGATGGTGCTCCTGGCCCAGGGAGCTCATTAGGCGTCACTCCAGGGGGTCATGAGAGAAGAAGGTCAGGTCATGACAATGACTTGACAGTACCACTTCCTTGACCCTGGGGGTGAGCACTTGGGCGTCATTTGAGACTTTCGGATTTTCTGACCTCTGACAAAATTTTAATTACTCAGGAAGAATAAGCACGGCTGTGACATCTGTCGCTGTAAGAAATGCCCAGAGCTCCGGTGCAGTAAGCTCTGCTCCCTGGGTTTCCAGAAGGACAGTCATGGCTGTCTCATCTGCAAGTGCAGAGGTAGGTGCCAGTGCCTGCCCTTTCCCCAGGAGCCAAGAAGACGACAGCCTGTCAGTGAAACAGTTTCACTGGTCATTGTCCGCTCTGACAGCACCATCACTCTCTAGGGGACCATCTCTTGCCACTCCGTGGACTGTAGCCCCCACTGCCCACCCCACTTGGCTTTAGAAAACCCCACGCATAGAGGAGCCTGGCGGGCTATGGTCCATGGGGTCTCAAACAGTTGGACAGACAGCACATAAGGCAAAGTAGAGTGAAAGGAGGAAAATGCTGTTAGAAGCCTGCCAGTAGGAGAGACACGGATTTGTAAGGGGTTTTTCTTCCCATTTTTCAAAATTGAGGGCATGTTTACATGAATTCCTTTCATGATCCTGTCCCATATCACGGACTGTGCTGCGTAGACGGGACTTTTGGTGACTGGGTAGCGCTGCCTGCCAAGACGCTGCAGGCTGCCCCTCCTGCGCAGTAGCTGCTGCTTCACCAGCCTGCCTTCTGTCTGTTCAGAGGTCTCTGCCTCCGCCGGGCCGCCCGTCCTCTCTGGCACATGTCTGTCCATGGATGGCCATCACCATAAAAATGAGGAGAGCTGGCACGATGGGTGTCGGGAATGCTACTGTCACAGTGGACGGGAGATGTGCGCTCTGATCACCTGCCCCGTGCCTGCCTGTGGCAACCCCACCATTCACCCGGGACGCTGCTGCCCGTCGTGTTCAGGTAAAGGCTGGCTGACGGCCCGTTCGCTCCCTGAGCAAGCGACTTCCACCTGCTAGCGCCTCATCACGTCTCTCACTCGGGGGGAGTGCAGGGGACGACCCCTGGAACACACTTCTCCTCTCTGGTTTTCGTCAGCAGTAGCCACAGGTGTCAACAGGGCATGATAAATGATTAGCCAGAAGCCACTAGACTATTCTAGAGGTCTAAAAGCACTCTCCTAAGTTTTGAAGGTTTGAACTCCGTTATATTGGTCTTTGAACTCCATTTGTATAAAGGTTTGTGGTCTTACTTACTTAAAACTCCAGCTCTCCACTTTATGGATAGTGTATTGAGGCTGAGTGTGTTAGTTTATTGGAGGGGCTTGGTGCCGATCTTATTCCATGAAAGCTTTTTATTTATAAAGTAATAATCGAGAGGGAGAGAATTACTGAAGTCTGTGGCTATTGCCTTTTTTTATTCCTAATTAATAGATATATGGCAGTCTTGCCAAATGGAGATGTTTAGAGTGACCACATATCCAAAACATTTAAAATCATAATAATGCTCATCAAGATAAGTTAGTAGAAGAACAGATTTATAATTCACAGTGCTCCAAATTATGGTTGTCCATAACAGTAATTATTACGATAATACCTCATCTAGTACCTTACATGCAAAGAGCTCAGCACGGTTTTATATTTATTATTTCTTCCACTAAGTGGAGGCCACTGAGACATTTGGAAGACAGACACAGAGATTAACTCTCTTAACCAAAGTAAAATAGTGCGTCAGCTGGCAGGCCAGAGAGACGTGAAGTCTCCTGAGTCTTGCATCAGATTTCTTTTAAAGTTGAAATGTACTGTCTGAGTTTGGAGTAGTGAAGGTATTTCCCCTGGTCAGTCCTGGTTCTGTATCTCCCTCTGCCTCTGCAACAGGTACACTCAAGAACCTGAGACCTGGGCCTTTGGCATCAAGGCAGGCTCCGCCTGGGAGGGAAGACACCACACACTAGCACCTTGGTCTGCACCCGCTTTGCCTGCCAGGGTGGGAGTGGGCAGAGGGGCGCTGGAAGTCCCTCTCAGCCCTGAGATTCCACGTACCTCGATAACTAAGGAAAGTGCTAGGCGGCCTCCATGCCCCTATGATAGTGGGCCAGATGACAAAGTCTGTTCTGTTTCCCCTGGTTAAGCCAGATGTGCTCTGTATCAGAACTGTTTCCTGGTTCATGTTTTGCTAGTTAAATATGAAAAACCACCAGTGTCTACCGAAACAGAAGATAAATGAACAAATGTAATGAGCCAGAACTGATTTGACTCTTAGGGGAAAGAAAAATCATTTATTCCAGTGAAGACCCCTGTGCTTTAATTATGAGCATGAGAGTGTAGAGTGTGGTCTGCATCTGGGTCTTTGCTAAACTTGGTACTCAATGAAGAACTCTAACTGGTGGAAATGCAAAGATATTACTGAGAATAGATGACTGACTTGAGTATTGAAAGTCAATGAAACCAAATGTAGTTTTCTCTATTACAGAGATATGAAAAGTTCTTACACAAACACACACAGAATTATTGGTGTGTAATTGTGGATGAGTGACTATCTAGATAACACATACAAAAACATATAGGTATTGACGTATATAGGTATGTAGATATGTTTTCTTCCAGAAATCTTCCATGAATTGCCATGTATGGATCTTTCTGAATAGATACCCCTGCACTGATACATTCATGGACTCATGCTCCTACTTTAAAGAGTATTTTCTTCTGTCTTCTATTCAAAGATCAGCTATTTTTCCTTCTGAGATAAGTAAGCAACTCTGAACTCTTCTGATAGAAGATTCACTAGATGATACGGTTTCTCCGATTTTTTTCCCCTATCTCTCTTACCTTCTACCTTTTACTTTTTCTACCTTTCAGTTTTTCTGTCACATCTGATCCCTCATGTTTTGCCTTGAGGCACATGGATGTATATAGCAAAGGAAATCAGAGGGTAAGGCACCTGCAGACACATGTCATTTTTCTTCTGACCATTTTCCCGAGTCGTCCACATTTAAAAGGGCAGCAATTCTCAACCCTCTGCAAGTCCTTTCCAAAGGGAGCCTCTTTCCAACATTAGTGCACTGATACTGTTTGGAACAATTTTATCTTTTCCTGTAAGCCATGAGAAATGTACTTTTATCTCATACCAGCGCAATTTTTATTCTAATTATCTTCCTCTCTACTTCCCTCATATACTAGAATGTCTGGCCCAGTTGCTTATGCACATAAGTGTTGGCTGATGTCAGTTTTCTGTGGTATGTACACTTGGTCAAAGTTCCAGTCTTTACTAGCTCCCTGGAGACAAAGCTGTCTTGAAAGTTACCTTCTTAGCTGGACCTGGGCCCACACCACTGTATCTCCTCAGTATTGCTAACTCTCAGGCTGAACACTACTTTGAAAGACACAGCCCATGAGTTCTTAGGAGATGTCAGCTCCAAGCATCTCTGCACAAACAGGGTAGTTCTTCTGGGGCCCGATTTCCACTGAGCTCCAGGCTTGAGCCCGCCGCAGTGTCTGCAGACGGCTGCTCCGCAGGGTTCCCCACTGTCAGCACCTTCTTGAAACGCCTGTTGTGTTTGGATGATATGAACATGGTTAATATCTTCATATTTCTCATTTCCTCAGCACAACTTCAGGGCAACTCCCAGTGCCTCTTCAGACGTTTCCAGCATTAAATTCACTCTCTATCATTATCATCTCACCAGGAGCTCCAAATTACCCCTCCACTGGGGAAAAAGACCTCATACTTACTGTCAACCTCTGAGCGTTTACCTCTCTTGATCATATCACCGAATGTTTAGTCTCAGGTGAGGTTTCACACTGTAGATTCTGAAAAAGCATTCCTGCTCACTGGGCTGACAGCTGGTCTATAGTGGGGTGTGTCCTGCTTAACAGTAGGACTTATTTCTGAGCCTAAAAGGACTCAGGGCCCCAGAGATAATGAAGAGGATGAAGCACAAATCAGTTGGCAATTCTGTTTAATCTATAGGCCCGTTCATGATGCAAAGAAGCATAGACTTAGGTCCAAATCCCTTGTCTCCCCTCAATATTCTGAGTTCTCAGTTTCGTCATAAGTAAAACAGGATAACGCTACCTGTCCACACAGCTCGTGTAAGGAATAAACGAAGTACCATATGTAAAGTACTAAACATGGAAACTGGACCATAGTGAACATTCAGTTAGTGAGAGATCTTTATTCTAGATAGTCCTACACATTCACAGACATCCCCCAAGAGGCTCCTGTCTCCTTCAACAGTGAGAGTCCCTGTAATTTAATTGTCTCGACAGGTTCTGTCATTCCATGTTGACAGACTCGAACCATTTCCTGAAAAATAGCTCTTCTGCCTTGTATTTCTGTGCATGGAATGTTTTCTTCCCCATCCTCCGGGTAGGAGCCACCAGCTCGTCTCCTCTGTCCCTCAAAGCCCACGGCACCGGGTTCTTCACCAGCTGGTGAGACTGCAGCCGGATCATTTCCTGTGTTTGGATCTTCTCTCGTTCCCCAGATGACTTCGAGGTGCAGAAGCCAGAGCTCAGCACGCCCTCCATCTGCCACGCCCCCGGGGGAGAGTACTTTGTGGAGGGAGAGACGTGGCACATCGACACGTGCACCCAGTGCACGTGCCATGGCGGGCGGGTGCTTTGTGAGACGGAGGTGTGCCCGCCGCTGCTCTGCCAGAACCCCGCCCGCACCCAGGACTCCTGCTGCCCACAGTGCCCAGGTAACCGGCGCCGCGCCTCAGGGAGGCGCTGGGCGGGCAGCGCGGGGGCTACAGCCTGAGCCTCGTCATCCTGCAAGACCAGTGGGCCGGGTGGAGCCCCATGAGGTAACGTGCCAGGCCCAGTCACCAGTATCCCAGGCAGGAGCGACCCGGGCAGCCGGCTTCCTAAATTCATCCCTTCTGTCGATCACATGTTTATGCCATCAGTATGCTTTGCACCAGAGATGACTTTGAACAATAACAGAAAATTGTTTCTACCTTTTTTTTCTCTTAACCGTAAATCTCAGACTCAAGAGAGAGTCCTGCCGCACCAAATTATTCCAAATGATTTTGCTGTTGTGAAAAGTCATCTTTGTCATTGCAAAATGTGAAGAGCAGTTATTGATAAAGAATGTAACTTAAATTCTTTGAAAAACGTAAGATATATGTGTTTGATGAAGATCCTTTGTTAAACAGAAGAATTGCTAAAATATGCATAACACCCACATTTTCAAATCTGCAGTGCTTAAGATCCAAAAGTATTAAGTGACCAGCACTGCGTATGTACAAAGAGCACTACTGGTGTCTTTTTTTTCAGTCCTCAGATAATCTGGCCTTAGCAGATGAATTTATAGTCATGTAACAAATACAATAAAATTTTGTCAGACTTTTAAACATAAGTTGCTGATCTTGCAACTAAAGTAGCAATTCTAATTAATACTAGAATATATAACTTTTTTCCAGAATATACTTAATTTGTACATTTATCATTACCAAGTAGATAGCACACTAGTGTTGTTTTGCTGTTGCTTAGTCTTTTATCTTTTCAACTTAAATCATTTATTTTCTAAATGTATATTCTCAGAGCATTTCTGCTCAGTAAAACAAAAACCCTTGATTTGATTAGTTTCTTTACATTGGATTGTCTAGTCAACCAACTGGAATATCTTATTCTGTCATTATATAACCAGCGTAGTTGATGTCCAAAATCTTCCTGGGTTCACATTGATGATATTTTTAATTGCATCAGGTGAAATTGTAGGATAGCCACATTTTTGCTGTTGTCATCATGCCCTGCTGCTCAGGTATTATCTTAGTACAGAGTCTTTGGTGTAATTTTCAACCATGTTAGTCTGAAAAGCTTAGTTTGTGTGACATCTTTTCTAATATAAGTAATCGTTCAGATGTGTTATGTTGTTAGGATATACCCTGGAAATGACAGAGCTAGTCACTTAGTCATGACCGACTCTTTGCAACCCCCATGGACTGTAGCCCACCATGCTCCTCTCTCCATGGGATTCTCCAGGCAAGAATCCTGGAGTGGGGTTGCCATACCCTCCTCCAGGGGATCTTCCCGACTCAAGAGATCAAACCTCATCTCTAATGTCTCCTGCATTGGCAAGTGGATTCTTCACCACTAGTGCCACCTGGGAAGCCCAATCTTAGGATACTTGTATTGTAATATTGTCCCAAATGATACATAGGTAATAAAACTAGAAGAATTGCGTCCCTTGTAGTGATTGTGTTCCTCGGATGCTTTGTCAGTCCCTCTGTCCTTAACTTACACTCTCATCTGGCCTGGTTTAGAACAAGGTCTAGAAGTGGACTCATGAAGAAGGATTGAGCATCCCTGTAGGTGAAGATAAAGAGAGAAAATAGAAGAGTGCTTCTTTCTTTTCCACAGTTTTAAAATTCTCCTTCATTTTTTATATTTTAAAGTTGAAGAGAAGCATAGGACAGAGAAAGAGGGGGCTGGAATAGAAATAAAAAGAATGAATGAACGCCAGTGAAAGAACTAGTAAAAAAAAAAAAAAACAGAATAAGTTAGTTAACACACTATTGACCAGGGGATTTTTGTAGAAATTAATGCCTATGACCAGCAATTTGTTATGTAAGTGAACATTGAAACATCTCTAGTCAATAATGTTTGGGTCACAGAAAACATACTTATGTGTCTCTAGTCAGTAACTTGTTAATATTTGGAATCAGAGGTATAAAGAGGGGTTCTCCTTTCTTCCTAAAAATGGAAAGAGGCCCAACGAAGGAAGATACAGTGGGCAAGATACCAGATGATGCCTTCATCAGGGTTCAGTTAGTCTGCGGCCCTTGGGGCAGACGCTGCATCTCAGCTGCAGCTCTCACTCCAACTCTGCTGGCCCACTCTGTGTCCCCTGAGGTCCCCTCCAGACTGTGAGATGTTCGTTTCAGCTGCTAGTTCATGATTTCATCGCTGCTTCCTCTTCTGAGTTTTCAGACGCCAGGTTGGGTGTTGCTTGCAAGAACTAAGCTGTCATAACCCGCAGAAACCTCATGCCAGTTTGCAGAACCTCATGTAGACTAGTGTGAGTTGCCCTGATTGCCAGCCACATCAAAAGTTAACATCAGTCAGTCTCTTAAAAAGAACTTAGCCCTCAACATGGATGACCCAGAAAAGCTCCCTGAGAAAGCAGTCCCATCTTCCCATCTTTAACTCACATGCATGTGATCCAGTTTTCCTAAAACTGAGCCTGGAGCACTTTTGGAGCAGTGGAAACCAGTGGCTGTTCTTTCTCTGTTGCTGCCTTCAGGACTGGCAGTAGGAGATACAGTTACACAATTTGGTCTCTCAGCCCAAAACAAAGCAGCTACCCCACTTCTCATAGACACTCTCCTTGTCCAGCCAAACTTGTGCTGGGGGGTGTATTCATGAGGGGAACAGAAAGTGGAACACTGAGCACTTCTGCAGGACTGTGATAACTACATGTTTATTAAAGAGCAGACTTCATGAAGTTGATTCTGAGAAGAACAGATGATACTTCTGTCCCTGTGTCCATTGAGAAAATGGGATTCTCTTCAAGAATTGCTGGGTGGGACCATCCTGCACCTTCTAGACGCTCAAGTGCAGACGTGGTTAGAAGAGCTCTCTTGTCGGTGACGTTGCTCAACCAGGAACCTCACCCACTTGTACTTTGCTTTGTTATATCCCATTAGCTTTCTGCTTGAGTTAACAGTTCTCAAGTCACTTCAGTGAATGCCAAGACCCAGAGAGATATCCGGGGTTTTCTGGCAACGTTCTTTTCTGTTAAGTTGTCGCAAGATCTCAAGACCCTCTGGTCTGTCTGTATGTAGGAAAAACATACAAGACTTGCAGCTAGTTTACTACATTCCCCATCACCTTTTAGCCATTAATGTGAATGCCTGAACATTGAAGTGTCACATGCGGTTTAGAAGTCTGTGTGGGTGTTGGTTGGCTAGGACTGCATGGGGCTGCAAATAGGAGAAAACCCAGCTCAGTTTTTAAACAAGTAGAGGTTTCTTTTCCATGCATTATGGGAAGCTTGGAGCCAGATTTGACCACATTAATTTAGTATCTTAGTGATAGCAAGGGCTCTCTTTTACAGATATGAGAAGGATATTACAGCTACAGGCCACAGGCTCATATTCAAGGCTGGAAGGTTAGTGAGCGAGCACACTTTGTGTGGGGCAGAGTGAAGCTCGCTGTGTTGCACGGTGGGTACTCTGCAGAGTCTTCTTTCCCCTGCTGACCTTCTGTTCTCTTTTGCAGATGAACCTCTCCAGCCTTCCTCATCCCACAATGACAGTGTGCCTAGTTACTGCAAAAACGATGAAGGGGATATATTCCTGGCAGCTGAGTCCTGGAAACCCGACGTGTGTACCAGCTGTGTGTGCATGGATAGCGTCATTAGCTGTTACTCTGAGTCTTGCCCTTCTGTATCCTGTGAAAGACCTGTGTTGAGAAAAGGCCAGTGTTGTCCCTACTGCATAGGTAAGACCAAGAAAACAGATCCTTTCTCTTGCCCAGCGACCACTAATTCTCTATTGACAGCTATATGCCTAGATCAGTTAGTAATTTTGAAATCCGTTTTTCTGGTTGACATACCACACAGACCCAGTGTAGGTCACAACAGGAGGAGCAAAGATGTGAAAGGTGTATTCCCAAGGTAAAACATGTTGAGAGTACAGAAATGCTTTCTGAGGATGTCATAATGTTATAATGCCATCAGGTTCTACTGGGCTCCTTTAGCATTTGGGCATTTTCAGTATTGGAGTCAGAACACTCTTCCTTCACCCTGTTATTGACTGTGGTCTTTTGTCCACACAGAACAACCATGTCTCGTATCAGAGTACACTTAGGGCTTGAAGCTTGCCACTGCCTTGAGATCCGCCAGATACCAGATACTGATTTAATCTCCCCGTTCTTCCTCTGTCTGCTAACACTTAATTGATTCTGTTTAGACCATGTGGTTGTCCATGTTGAGGGCATAGGGATGCAGAGGGAGGCCTGTGTCACTGACAGAACCCTCTCCTTCATGTGACCCACGGGGATGTGTCTTATGATCAGAGGACATACGTATATTAGCCCCTGTCAGCTATACCAAAACTAGGCCTATGCACACAAGTCAGATGCTGTTCTGGAGTCCAGAAGGTGAGGCTCAGACAGCTGGCAGTTCTAACACAAGCACAGTCCCTACTCCCAAGTCTCTCACTCTCTCTGATTGCTTCTGTCTCAAGTAAAACTCATAAAGTCAAGTGAAAGACAATGACATATCTCAGTCCAGTTGTGAACCTATAATCAGAGTTAGCAGGTGAAAAATTAGGCAAGCTGCATTAATGGCAGGCATCATGCATTTATTGTTGAAGATATGTGCATGCTTTATAAATGCAAGTCAGTGCATATATTTGGAGTAAATGCATGAGGAGGAGGAAAAATCCTCTGGCCACAGGACTTCGTAGCAGCCCGTGTAGATGAATCATTAAATGGTGCTCAGGTGCCCATTGGCCACCAGTCAAGCTTCTCAGGATAGTTCCTTTGGCCACTCTCTGGAGTTACTCCCTCTGAACACTTATTCTGCACATTAGTATACAAAAGATAGAAAGATTTTAAAACACGGTTTCTGGTCTCAGGAATTTTACAGAGCTTTATTTTCTCAGTGTCATGGTTAGGGAATATTAAAAATTATGTGTGAAAATGGATTCTCTTCTTTTCATAGAGTGACTGTCTATCCAATTTATTCTTTAAACTGTGCTTTTGTGAGTGAAGTGGGGACTGTTTATAATTTTGGTGGGACCATGGCTCTAGACCAGGGGCGTCCCAAGCCAGTGGGGACCTGTGGCTGCCCACCTCTTAGTGACAGGGACGTTAGATCTGCTGTAATACCTGTAAGCTTTGTAGCTTATAAGCGAAGCCAAAAATGTATCAAGGCATCCATCCAGCTACTGCTACATATCTTCTCAGAGAGTTGACTGGCATTCGTCTTGTTAAAAATGGCACAGCCTTTGATGAGATCTGAATGAAAAATGTAACCAGGTCACGATTTCAGACCAGGTCATTGATAGAGGGGGCAGAAATGTACAGCCAGGACCGGCATATTGAAGTACCAAAACTACTGTCCTAAAGGAGACAATTTATAAATCAACCAGGAGTACTTGGATCACAGTTGGAAACCAGGGCCCAGGAAACCTGAGAATTCTGTAGCCTTCAGAGGAAAAACCCAGCTGTGAATTTCTCATGTGTTGAAACTCTCTGATTTTTTTTTTAAGATAAAAAAGTTCCTGTTGTGTTTTGCCACTTAATTGGTGAATATGTGATTAGTAAGTTGCTCAACTAATTAATGTTTCCATGTGATAATAGTAAACCACTTTACTGTCTCACAAAACCAGTTTAACAAATTGATACTTATGGAAGGAAACCTGCATATCGTAGTATTCTGTGTTGTCTTTTTTTTTTTTTTTTTTGCTTTTGCTTTCATATTTTCCTATTCCAATTCCTGCATCTAGACTGTACATTCTTGTTTAGTGTGGGGAGGAAAATACCAGTTTGGCCTCAATTTGTGATTTTGATTTCAAATTAGATTTCACTTTCACTAAATTTTGGTTCACAGGAACTCATAATGACAGAGTAGAAATTTTGATTCTGTTACAACAATCCCCACCCCCCACTGCCCTGGCCACATTGATGCAGGTATAACTGTATTATATAAACCTATGACGTCTCTTCTGCTGAACGTACTGGGGATCTTTAGCAGTTGATGAGTAATACTGTGTGCTGTTATCCTCACATTCACCTTAATTGCTTTATACCTGTTTTATTTCTGAAATAGTTATTGTTGTTATCATTTAGTTGCCGAGTCGTGTCCCACTCTCTGCGACCCCGTGGACTGTAGCCCGCCAGGCTTCTCTGTCCATGGGATTCCAACAGGCAAGAATACTGGAGTGGGTTACCATTTTCTATTTGTCCAACCCAGGGATGGAACCCAGTTCTCCTGCTTGTTAATCCAAGCAGATTCTTTACCACTGAGGCACCTGGGAAGCCCTGAAATAGTCATTAGGTACCTCTATATGCATCATGCTGCTGCCGCTGCTAAATTGCTTCAGTCGTGTCTAACTCTGTGCGACCTCATAGACGGCAGCCCACCAGGCTCCCCCATCCCTGGGATTCTCCAGGCAAGAACACTGGAGTGGGTTGCCATTGCCTTCTCCAGTGCATGAAAGTGAAAAGTGAAAGTGAAGTCGCTCAGTCGTGCCGACCCTCAGCCATGGACCACAGCCTTCCAGGCTCCTCCATCCATGGGATTTTCCAGGCAGGAGTACTGAAGTGGGGTACTATTGCCTTCTTCACTATATGCGTCATACTTTCCTGCAATTAGCCTTTCAGATTGGGCTTCATTGTTTCTCCCAGCTAATGTTCAAGCATATGAAGTCAGATTCATTCCATGACTGTGATATGAGGATTTTCTGACCCTCCAGTTTGCTCTCTTCTCCTCTCCAGACTTCTTCTCTTGTCAGCTTCCCATCAGCATGGTCGCTCCATAAGGGCACCAGGCCCGGGCAGCAGTAGCTTGCCTGCGGGCAGATGTCAGCTCTGCCCCACTGGCGAGGTCTGCTTCCCCATCCGCGTCATCGAGCACAGGGGAGAAGTGGGACATTCTGCATGTCACAAAGCTCCCAGTGGCTTCTCAGCAGGCTCCAAGGACCGATGCTTTCACTGTCTCCGTGCTAGGCTTTCTCAGTGAGAACCCAGCTCCTCGTTAACCCGGGCAGTCTGCTCCCAGGGTCACATGTACCTCCGCCAAGCCTGCAGCACTGACCTCACCATGGCTGCAGATCTCCTCCCTGGGTGCATTTTCTTCCAAATCAATCAAATATAGATTTCTAAAACCCAGATACCTGCCTTTAATCTGACTTCTTTTTTTAGTGATAAAACCTCTGAAGAAGAAAAAAAAAAAAACTCTGAAGAAAAGTGTTCTTGCTTTCATCTTGTAAAGCCATCTTTTTTCTTACCACAAGAGAATTGAAAAGGATGATCCTGCTAAACATAGTATTATTACAAATGTTTGGTGTTCCTTGCAGATAAATTATCAAGTCACTAAAGTGCAATGATAATGCTTCTCTCTAATGTGTGAAGGCCTCATATTATGTGTGCTAATTTAATAGAATGTGTAATACAGACATAATTAATAGGATTGATGATTAATTTTGAAAAGTGAACAGCTTTGTCTAATTACTTATAATACCCATCATTAAGGAATTCATACTGGAAAGAAGCTAAGTAGTAATTACCCAATCATTTTAATGGAACATCTTCAGATTCTTGAATTTTTTCTATTCCAGCTTCCTACACAAATACATACAAACTTAGATTTTATTCTCATAGGCTTTTTGACTGTCATGATGGCTTAAAGAAAGGAGAATGACAATCAAGAGATGACTTGGATGTAGCTCAGGTGGGGATAAAAGGCCTGGTAGGAATTTTAATGTGTGATGGCAGATTTGACACATGGCTCCTTAGAAACAGCAGATGCCTTCTCCATGTCAGACTTGCAAGGTAGCATCTGGGGCCTTATCAGTGACTACATGCTACATGCCTTTTTGGAACCTTCCTAAAGAAAAAAATTATTTCAGTGCTTCGGTGATACCTTTATCCCATCGCTGCTAAAGAGCAGCCGGTGGTACCAGCAGCACTTCCTTTGCCTTAGGGGACGCTCGTCCTGACACATCACCGTTGCTCTGATGTCTGTGTCGGTGATGCTTCTGCCAAGGGCCAAGCTAGCATCTTCTCTCAGCAACCCAGCAGATCTCCGCCATGTCCAGGAGCACAGTCATTCCTGAATGTTATATTCACAACTGTTATCTTTACATCATGTAATACAAAACATTATAAAACTGATAGTATCTATTACTATAGATATCTGTAATATTATAAAATATTATAAAGAAAGGGCACTACATTGATCATAAAGATGCCTCTTCATTTAATGTTTGGGGTCTTCAAGCCCATATCACTGCTGCATCATCCCTGATGACTTTGGAAATGTAGATGTTCAGGTGTCCCCCCACCCCGACCCCCCACCAGATGAGGAGCTGAGTAAGCAACTCTTGTGTTGGCCAAGTCATAAGTATGACTCAGTGCATAGAATGCAGTAAGTCCCCAGCATATGAACCTTTAAGCTGCAAAGTTTCAAAGATGAAAACATGCGCTCACATGTCCAGTCACATCAGTTAGTTTGCATGTCTGGCGTACGTTGTCACATTCATGGATCCGCTACGAGTGGTTGTGTTCTTGTGTACCTCACTGCATAGGACTGTATAGAGTACCGTAGTACAGTGTCTTTATTTCAAGCCCGAGATGTCCAAAAACAAGCATAAAAGCAGCAGTGATGTAGCTGGCATTGTATTGTACTTGCCAAGGTAGTGTCCTATAAGGTTAAATATGTTTTCTCTGTTTCTTCGTGTCTGTTTTTTATGTGTTATTTGTGTAAAAAGTAT